CACACACACACACACACACACACACACACACACACACACACACACAGACACAGACACACACACACACACACACACACAGACACAGACACACACACACACACACACACTCGCAGACGCACACACACACCCTCTCACACTCACTCACTCACACACACACACACACACACACACACACACACACACACTCGTAGCTCTCCGTCTAATTGCTCTGTAATCTATAATAAGCGACTCTTTTAATGAGTAAAGCAGAACACATTAAATCTGCCTGAATCGCCATCTGCAGCCGTATAAAATCCTGTGTAATTGCAGCGAGGCTGAAGCTACACACAATGAAGCGTTTAGCAGCAAACTATTGTAATGTCTGTAAATGACCGTCCTAAAATATCTATATTTAGAGTGAGAATGAAGCTGGAAGCGCTTGTGGACAACATCACTAGCGTTAAGTGTCCTCACTAGTGAAAAATGTCCTCAGTGATGAAGCGAGACACCAGCAGAGGGTGACGCTGCACTGAAGACAAGTCTTACTCGGAACTTCAGAATGGCATACTGTTGACTATTTCTGTCAGATAAATGGAGAAATAGTATCCATTCTACATTTTACATTCCACAAATAACTATTTAGGCCTAAATTGCAGATGTATGTATTTGAATTATATATAATATTTCCAATCTTTTGGATTTCACCGCTTTAACATAAAATAATACACCTAATGTGATGCATATTTGTCAGTCATACATAAATGCAACAGGTCAGATTTATGAAATTAGTTTCAATCTCATACATTTTAAGTAACTTAATATTGCTTGTCATATTTTCACCATGTTCATACTTTTTAACTGAATACATGTAATTGTTTTCACTATGAACAGATTTATGCTGATTGTAAGCTATTTGAATAAATGCATTTTTCAATGATTTAAACAAAAAAAAATAAAAATAAAAATGTATAATATAAAATGTGATCATTTAAATGAAAGGCTTAAAAACATATATTTTTATTATTTTAATTTTCTATAAAAATCTATAAAATATAAGCTTAATTTATTTTGATATTGAGACAAAATATGAAAATAAAAAAATAATATCATATAAAAAAGATTTATAATAAATGAAAATAATGAAAAATAATAAAAATAAAAAATATATATTAGAAATTAATCTAAATATTTATTACAAATATTTAAATAAATGATTAAAATATAAAAATAATATACAAAAATAGTTTTTACAAATATGCATATTTAAATAAAATCAAATAGATGCAAATAAAAAATTTAAATATGAAAATAAAAATTATATTAATAATTATATTAAAATATTTAAATAAAATGATAAAAATATTTACAAATAAATAAAAAAATATAAATAATGCAATATTTTAAAAACATTTATAGAATTATTTAAATAAAATCAAAGCGTTATGCAAACAAACAAAACTATACCGTGATTTTTTTTGAGTGCAGAAATCTGACCTGTTTTATTTATGTGTGATCGGCATCACGTTAAGTTTATTCGTTTATGTTAAATCTGTGTAATCCAAATGGATTGTGTATGCAATAGCATCCTAGGTATGCATTACATTCTATTTCTGGTGTATTTATGAGTGTGTGTCTCTCTGTGTGTGTGTGTGTGTGTCTATGTGTGTGAGAGCATGTGTCTCTCTGTGTGTGTGTGTGTGTGTGTGTGTGTGTCTCTGTGTGTGTGTGTGTGTGTGTGTGTGTGTGTGTGTGTGTGTCTCTCTCTGTCTCTCTGTCTGTGTGTCTATGTGTGTGTGTGT